ATATATATTTTTAAATATGGTAAAAAAATGTAAAATATTCACAAACAAGCGAATCCTGAATTCAAATTTAAATTTTAGAGATTTATTTTTAAATAATGTTACATTTAATTTAAAAAATTTTCCGATTACGACATGCTACTAGTGTGGCTAGTGGAGGCAGTGGGCAGGGCCACTAACTCCTCTCATGCATCTTGGATCCCTAACACACAAGGCACTTTAAAATAAAAGAGCTTGATCATACAATTACCTAAAATTTTGTTCTGCATACACCCCATCATGAGATCGATTCCATGATTGCCATTTTGTGGTAGGAACACTTCGGGTGGGGTGACAGAATAAAGGTATCGTGTCATCTCCTTGCGGCCCCTATTGCATGCAACAGTTACTGGGATACAGACATTATTATCTGCAATTGTAAGTAATTCGCTGTTCTTTTGGACTATGCATCTTGCTAGGTGTGTTGTTCCAATGTATGCAACTAACGTAAGAGACGTGTGACGAATACTTGTAGTCCTTTTTTCTAGATCTGTTTCCGACATCATCTTTATCAAATCCTCGGCGATCTCATATTTCCCGGCCAGTATTGCAAAATGAAGAGCAGTGCAGCCATCGTCTGGTAATATTATCGTATCTAGTGGGTAATTGTCATTGACAAAAAACTGCTTAACAGCATTCCGATCTCCTTTGCGAATGCTCTTTCCCAATTCCACAAGGCGAGAATCTTCAGTCATCTCATCTTTTCCCCCTGTGAATAATCAAAATACTAATTAAAATTATAAATACTTCACAATAAGTTAGTTTAATTGAGACTATGTTTAAATTAATCAAAATTACCACCACCTGACCCCTCACAATGAATCGTTTCGATTATCTCAACTTCTTCCCTTTCCAATAATTAAGATATTATAATCAAATTATACTTCAGTTAAGGTATAATTAATTTAATTGATAATCTCCTTAAATCAATCTTACCATCCGATCCCCGCATGCTAGTTTCTGGTTTCGATTTAGATTGCCCCTCTTGATGCATTTTGGCTAATTTATGCCAAACAACTTTTGCGGAACTGATTTCTTTATTTGGGCAAAAATTTCTACCGACGATGCAGTATGAATTACATGTAGAGCTGCAAGAACTGCACCATTCTTTTTCCTCTAATTTCCTACATCGTCCAAAGACGAAACCAAATCAAATATTAATTATTCCCAAATTCAAGGATGCCCCAAAGATCTTGAGCTAATAGATAGTTTTCCATGTACATTCTCCAATCTTCATAATTATTTTGTTTAAGAAGAAAAGGAACAATTGCAGCAGTACTTGAATTACTATATATTGTCATTACAAAATTGTCAAAGCATAAAAGTATATATAATATTAATTATAACAGAAAAGCATATATAATTACAATTTCATATTCTACCCCTTGCAGTAGCTATATATAAACAGAGACTTGATCAGGCAAGCAATCTTCTCTAAAATGGTACACACTACAGTAAGGTAGTGAGCATGTACACCGAATGTAAATTGTCGGGCCGCCATAAAGCCTTAACAAATAATCATAGAATTAACTTTCTTATAATATACTTACCATAAGGAAGAGATAACTAGACTTGGATTCTTGCTGTATGGTTAGAGATTGCAGGTGCTCCTTAGTTTTAAATATGAAATGAAAAAGAGAAACATGTAATATAATTATAAATGGAGAAGTAAAAGGGAAAAAATTATCAGAAGAAACCAAACCAAGGGAATACAAATTTGGGACACAGGATTACAACCAAATTCAATGATGAAGCCCTTAAGAGCGAGAGACGGTATACAGCAAAGATTTAATTAGGTTGCACTTGCCGTGCAAGGTGTGGCTGGGTCTTGATGAAATATTTAAACCACAAAAAAGTAAAGAAAGAATAGAATAAAACCACAGAATATATTTCTTTCTTTTGATTGTAAATACTCAAAAGAATTAATCCATTACAAAGTAATTATGAGAGAATAGATTTAGTAAAACGTAAAGAAAGTCATAGGATAAGTTAAGCAATTTGACAATATTATAATTAAAAGCTAATTGCATTGCATTGATTCATAGACAAGCATGCATGATCAATAATTCACTACTGAGGAGACTGCCTTGTTCAGAACTTAAAATTACAATGAAATATAAGGCACAAAGCACATAAAATAGTAAAATGTTAGAATACACAGCATTAATTTGAAGGATCTATAAAGTAATACCCAGGAGAAAAGTTAAAACCAATAAGCCAATTATGAACTATCATTCCGTCAACCTATCTTTATGCTTACTACACTAACTAGACCTCAATCCACGCTTTGCACGGTTTGTCTATATTTTTTTAATAATTATAAATTTTTATAATAATAATTAACTATAAATATATCTTCTTCTTTTTTTGCCTTTTTAATAATTAGTCATTTTAAATGTATTTATTCAAAAAAAATATTTTAACAGTAAAAGTGGAAAAAGATTTAAATGTACAAATTTAATCAATTTAATTTTTTTTTAAAAGGACAAATTTTTATAATTTGTTACCATATTAATATATTATGAAATTTGTCAATCATATCTATCTATTCTTTCTTTTTACATTAGTTTGTTCGTAAATTGTTTGATGTTATTCATTCTCTCTCTTATCATCTACTCATTAATTATCTTCTATCATTATCTATTCACATGGTATATTCTTTTCAATTTCTCATAATAAGATCACATCTCTCTATATATCTCTCAATGAAGCACATTTCAATTCTCTAGTTTGTTTTATCATCATACACTTAGGTTATTATTATGTATTTTAATTTTGACTTAACTTAGTACATGTACCTCTCCTCATTTTTCTTTCTTAAACTAATATTTTTTCACATTATTTTACATTTTCATGACTTTTTTGAATATCTTCATGTTTGTATTTCTTCGTAAATCCTTATCAATAGTAGTAATTTTTTTGATTATTCTTTATCCACTATATCAAATTTGCCATATACCTACCTACTTTTACCTACATTGACAATTCCATAGGTATAGGTATCTATGCCTACAATTTACTAATTTGTATGTATATGGTCTAAATATACCTACATATTTATATTAATTGAAGGAGAAAAATGTCTTTCTCTATAAAAATGGCTTAGTGTAGGTAAAAAAAGAAAAACTTGTACCTACAATTAAGATCAATTATAGATATAACTGTACCTATAAATTTTCAAAAACCATAGCTATGGTTCATTAAAAAAATCATAACTTCACAAAAATACTAAGAGTTACACCCCAAATTTGGTCTCTCAATTATTGTACAAAACTCTCAATTTTATATCCCTTATCCTCCCCCTCTATTATTCTTTCTTAATTAGTCAATGCATATATATCTTACCATCGTTTTATTCCCTTTTTTATTTCTTTCTCTCTCTCCCTGGTATATAATTGGAAATGTTTTCAAATCAAAACAAAAAAGCATGACTTATTAGTATTATTTTCTTGGGTACTTAATTTTTCACTTACCTTTAGTTCACCGTTCATGAAATTTTTTTGAGTCTCCATCTCTCAACTTTCCTCTCAAATTTTATATCGTTATATTTAATTCTTTACCCTACACATTATTCTTTGTTTTATTATACTCTCATCTCTCTCATTCTTTCTTAAACCTATTATTATATATCTTATTTTGACCATTCTTTTTACTTCAACAGTATATTTTTATTAGAAAATTTCATTACCAAAACATCAAAAAACACAACTTCTTAGTATTATTTTCCTACTACTTTTTCACTTGCTTTTACTCCACTTTTATCATTATTTTTCTAGAAATTCTACACCTTAGCTCCACTTACATTCTATGATTATATTCTCTCTACAATACATTCTTATTTCTTTCCCTCTCTATACTAATAATTCATTTGTTATTATATCATCCATGGGTGCATGAGTTAGGTCATATATATGAGATTCCATGTAACTCCAAACCAACCAGTTTTGAAGTCGGTTACTGTACCATTTTACTACTATTCAAAAAAACTAATTAGAATTAATTAAATTTAGTTAAACAAAATTGGGAGTTAGATTTCGTTTTTTGGGTGTGG